GCTCTGCAGCGGCGACTGCGGGCGTGTGGTGAGCTCGGTGATGGGTGGGGAGCCCCGTAATTCCTGACACACTTCTGCTGGAGAGGATTTTACTACTTTCTTGATTTAAAAATTTACTGAATAAAACGGTCTGACTCAAAAAAGAGGCCGGTTTAAGTATTTATGTGTTCTGAATACTGCCCTGCTGGCCTGTATCTTTAGCATAGGTGACCCACTAGTTGCCTCTTGCAGCCATCACTTCTTGTACGAGGCTGTGTTGCTTTTGGGGGATAATGGTATATGTACCTGGCTTGCAGAAACTTCATGAGATAATTGAAAATAAACACTAATTTCCATCCTAAACCAGTAAGAACAATCCAATTTCCAAAGCATTTTATGCACTTTTCCAAAGTTCATTTTACAAACGGCACAAGCAGAGTATTTTTACTAACCCACAGCAATAACTCTGCACCGAGGCTCATACCTACATGCCTGAGAAATAAAGGAGGCAGAATACATCTGACAGTTTGCTTGATGCAAAACTAACTGGGTTTTCTAAAGCATGTGATTTTGTTAATAACATACCTGCCTTGCTGTTTTAAGGACCGTGGTGGATGGTTCATACCTCTTTATTACATGAAGCCTTTGTTTGGACTCGAGGGTTGCAGAGGTAGCACATACCTGCAGAAACACTACCAGGCAGATGTATTTTCTGAGAATTGTTATTGACTTCTGCCTCTTTCTCCCATCACATTTAGTCCCAAGTCACGCTGGATTGACTGGATGTAGCAATGGTTGGCGTTGGCACAGCTGGGAAATTTGGAGCCCTGCGGAGCGTTCTGCCAGCCTGCAGTGGGGGGTCTGGTTTGACTTGGTTTTTAACCTCACCTTTTTTCAGCTATAACGGCTCTGCTGCTTGTGCATACCTGCTAGTGTTGATCGTCATTAAACATGACAGAAGAGAAGAATCCTCTTGCTTCCAACTGCTTTTAAGTAGGAGGTTTGAAACTCGGTTTGAAGCCATGCTTTAGCCTAGTAATGGAGACACGTCAAATGCTGGATCAATGCATCCTGTGCGAGTGCAAGCCGCTCTGATTCAGTTGCTCAATTTCCCTGCCTTAAGAGGTGGTATCTTTATTGTACTGTCACTACCAACTCAAATATAGCCATGTACAATTTTATCCTTCATGTCATTTATGTCAATAGGGAGTAGAAGTTGTCAGTTCTCTCTGGCCAGATCTTCAGATGCATTTAGGTCTTTAAATGCCATTAAAATCAATGCTGCTGCTGTAAAAGAGTTGTTTATTTTGAAAGAAAAATAAACCTCCTGCTGGCACATACAGAGCACATTGCAGGGTGGGCAGGTTGTATCCTATGGGTCTGATTTCCCAAATTGAACAGGGCTGCTGTAGGCTGTCTCTGCCTGTTCCTTCTTCATACTGTCTGCCCCACCGGTGCTGTGGAGCAAGCCTGTTGCATGTATAGCAGGTACTGAACTGCACGTATTGCAGCCTTCTGTATCCAAAGTAAAAGCAGGGATAGTTTAGCTAAGTATGCCTTGTTGCTTCCCAAGCATCTGAGTTATCCTTGCAGTGGCAGCAGGGCAAGTACCTGGAGTCTGAAGCAGCCATAGGCAGCTCAGTAAGCTACGGGCATTTGTCATTCAGCCGCAATTAATCACTATTCTATAGATCTCAGCCTCAGTCCGTGGGACTTGGATGCATGCAATTAAGTGCCTTATTGCTTTGATGATCTGTGCATAGGGACGCACTGGGAAAATTTTAAGAAGAAACCTTTAGCATGGTAACTTCAGACCACGTAGTGTACTGTAATAGATTTCTATTGATAATATTCTCCTGTTAGAGTACGGCATTGCCTGGAGGCTCTTGTGACCCTTTGGGTTGGAGCTTGTCTCATGGTATTCTGGTAGATTAAGGCTGATGAAATGTTAGAGTAATTACAGTTAGACTTAGTTTTTTTCAGTTTCTTAATGCTCCAGAAGGAGAGCTCAGTAGCATTTCAATTGCAAAACTAACAAAGGACAAAAACAAATGGAGGGGAAGGCAATGAAATTAGAAATGTTAGCAGGAAAGAAATGAATCCTGGAAAAATTCAAATACTTTTAGTATTATAGTGATGGAGATATAAAGGAGTGAAAATGAGTATTGGATGAATATGAACAGTCAGAGAAATAAGATGAGAAAAGCAAATTCTTATTTTGGAGTGGCTATGGTGTGAGGTACAGTGGTGAATCCAATGTGGCTACTTCCACAAGTCCCGATCACTCAACCTAAATTTTGTGAACTTCTGGTTTGGGACAAATAAGTGACAAGATTGCTGGGGGAGTCTTGTAGCTGCTCTTTTATCATTAGTAGATTTTTAGGAACCAGCATCTGCAATTCACTACGTCTTGGAGACTAAACCGAGCATATGATCTGTATTACTGAGCATCTAAGTTCCAGAGAGGTGACAGGGACAAGTCATGGGGAGTGAAATGTATTCAAAGGCTGGGCAGTTCTCTATATTCTGAGAAAATGGACTACTTTATATACCAAGTGGCCAAATAATTCAAGGAGAATCTTTCCATAAGACAGTTACATGCATAGTGGCTGCAGTCATATCATTAGACTACATCAGAAAGCAGTTAGTGGAATGAAAACCTGAAAAATAATTTTAAAAGTAGTAGAGGTAGGAAGGCTGCCATCTTTTCCTTCACTACAAAAATTCCTTGCAATGCTGTGTTTGGATGCACTGACCAATATTAGTATTATTTTTTGGTCTATCTAGTGCACAGGGAAAAAAAAAGGAGGTTTTGTTCCCACACAGTCTGTGTCTGTACCAGCGGCTCTGTGTGTTTGTTAGGGAAGTAAAGGCCAATGTTACGGGCTGCTTTTGGGGAAGGAAGATGGTGAACATTTTCTGATGGTTATTTCTTCCTAACAGGAACTTTCCCACACATAGAACTTCATTTAGGAAGTTTTTCCCATAGCAGGGGAGCAATAATACTGGGCGTTCTTTTCATTGCAGGCAATTATGGACAATTTTAGTTAACTTGCTTTAATTGAGAAGTTTGAACTGAGATTGTGAGCTTTATTGTGGTCAGTCACCATCGCTGGAAGTGTTTAAAAGACGTGTAGATGAGGCGCTTAGGGACATGGTTTAGTGGGCATGGTGATGTTGGGTTGACAGTTGGACTTGATGATCTTAGAGGTCTTTTCCAACCTTAATGATTCTATGATTCTATGACTCCATAGTCTGAGACGTTTTGAGAGCAGATGGATTGATTTGACGCGTTTGCAGCCTTTTACAACTTTTCAGATTAAAATTCTTCTTCTAGACTGACAAATCAAATTCATAAAGTTCATTAATTTTAATTATTCCTTCCTGAATATGTAAACTTCTCATTCATTTTCAGATTGTATTTTTCCAAAATTTTCAACTAATACTGAAATAATTTTCAGGATGGAGACATGAATGTATCCAGGCTGCTGTCAAAGACGTTTCCAGTGAATCTGCATGATCTCAGTGTTATATTTTTTCTGTTTTCTCTCGGAATTTCAGAAGGATGATTCCCAGAGACTTCTGGAAAGCTTCAGCTCTGATGAAAAAGAGCACACACTCAAGAAAAGTAAAGCAGAACCCTATACATCAGAAGAGGAAATGGTGCTGGAGGTAAAGTTCTGCTCTTGTTGGTGGATGTCCATTTTCCTAAATGAGCACATTTAGGGCCTTGTCCAAACTGTCTTAATTTTACTGGGTTTGGAATTGAGCCCTTAAAAAGTGTTCAGAAAAAGCATAAGGAGGAGAGTGGGAGTTGATGGCTGCTTATGAATGCAACTATTTCAGGCACTCATTCTCCATATGAATTCCATTTCTCTTGGGGGACTCTTTTTGGATATTTTAATCAAGATCTTGAGTTCTTTCTGGACAGGGGCTTCTTTAGTTTTGTCTCTACATTGTCCTTAGTTTCCAAAGGCTGATGGGAAAAGTTAACACTATTGACGTAAGAAAAAGTTCTTAAGTACTGAAATCAGTGCTGATAGTTGATAGTGGATTCTTTTCTGGAGAAGGAGATTTATTAGAGGTTTTGACAGTAATAAAGTTCCCTCATCAGGTCTAATATGGAACAAATACTTTTTTTCTAGAGCCTCCTTAGAGGCTCCAACACTCAGTTGGACTGAGTAAATCAATGGAGGCAGAAAGAATAAATGAAGTAATATGAATATGTTTATGAACAGCAGCATCTTCAATGGCTTTCTCACATAGAAAGTTCTCCCATCAGGTACCAGCTGAAGATACAGTGCAGAGGTCAAATGACCGCAAGTACTTAAACACCAGTGTGGTGAGCTGGGATTCAAGGACAATTAGAGAAACAATTTGGAAAGAAAAGTAAGAGAAGATATAAACTTAATCCACCCTCAATCAAAAATTCAAATAACTTTTTTTTTTGTTGATAATCTCAAAATATCTTGAGAACCAGTCCTACCGTGTAGTTGTTAGATCACAGCCTTTCACCCAAAGCTGCTATGACTGCTCTTGGTGAAGCTAAAGTTTGTGAGTTAAGCTAACTCATTCAGTCTGTTATACATAATTAAATATATGCAGAAAGTGTCGGTTAAAGCCAGCCAGTCTGGTGCTTAGCTTGTAACAAGAACTGGTTTCAAGACAGAGAGAATATAGACGTTTTTCTAAACATTTTACTGTTGGTTTAAATCCTGACAGGTAATTAATCTTTATTTCAGTTTTGTGATCAGGGATGGTGACAAACCATGGTTGGTCATTTTGCTTGAGGTAAAAAGGACAGCATAACAAGTGAGCATGGATTAGATTCTCTTTTGGAGTGCAAATCCTGTGGGAGAACTTATGTAATGATACAACTTCATGCATATTACCAGTCCTTTTGAAATGGGATCACAGTCTTTTAAAGGTGATCATTCACAAGTATATCCATTTCCCAAACACATTAGCTCATTTATAACACGTTAAGAAGTAACCTTGTTATTTGAAGGGACTTTGTCCCACCTATTTATCTAACTACTGAAGTTTGTTTTTTTTTTTATATTTGTTTGTTCCAATTCCCAGAGGTTTTTGCTGTAACTAGCATCAAATTGACAGTTCATGGAGAAGCATAGATGGAAAATGCTTTTAGTTAGATCAGAGCACTTCAGAAAAAAACGGATATTTTCATTCTGAGACCTTCCACATTGCAATAATACCATAATTACCATATTAATAACTGTGTATTAGTCATGCCTGCTGAGAAGCAGGATGTGTTAGCTCTAGCACACTGTGATATGGCTTTATGGCTTTGGACTGGAGCTGCTCTGTCTCCAGCCATTGCAGAGCAATGGATCCATTGGCTTCTATCCCTGAATATGTACTGCTGGGACTGCTCAATACAAGCGTTTTATACTTGCGTGCTTTTAACTTCATCAGTAAATCCAAAAATTACTTCTGGAAATAAATGAAATGGAGATGAAAAGGTGCAATGATAAAGGAGTCTAATTAATGATGTCGTTTGCTCTTCTCTTCCTGTCTCTATTTTTAGACTCTATTAGTGCTTTGATATTTCGTAGAAAAATCTATATGAAGAAAATGGTGTTTTGACAAATCAGATTATTTCATTTCATGTGACAAAACCAGAAAAGTTAGAAAAGGAAATCTCCTAAAACTTGGATTTAAACATTCTATCCATTGTTTATAGCCAACCTTTTATTAAGCCTTACATAACCTCACAAAACAAAGCTGATTGTCCCATTGTTCCAGTGCATAAAGCAGTGGCTAGGAAAGAGGAGGAGCAGAAAGTCAGATTATGTGATATAGCAGATTGTTTGAAAAGAATGCACTATCTATAAAAAGTTCTTTGGAAGAACATCGGTATTTTCTTTAGATTATAGGTAAGGGTTGTACTATAAAAGTTCTTCCTGGAAAAAATGATGACTGGTTTTGTTTAATCTATTGTTTCTGTATTTAAATTGAAAGTCAGAATTTATAGTCATGATATCTGTGGAGCTTATTCTTTAGTAGTTTCTATTATTAAGATAATTTCAGTCTCTCATGTGAAATCTTTAGTTGCTACTGAAGGGGAGGAAAAAAAACAAAAATGAAAGTAACTTGTGAATACCAGCTATTACCTATTTTCCCTTGCAGGAGTAAAAACATTTTGGAGCAGTGGTAATGACAGAGTTCTCTTTTCTGGGTTTCATGCGCTGAATGAGTCGTATGAGAAGACTTCTTGTGCCAAAGCAGAAACAGTCAGTAAATAGTTATCGATAGGAATTTCTAAGTTGTGTAACAAAAAGGGGCATGCGATGCTTACAGTGAACAACCATCAGGTCTACTGTTCCCAAATGGTTTTCTGTTCTTTTCCATACAGGAAAGTGAGCCTCCTCTGAACAGTAACGTCACGGCATTTGCATTAAAGGCAAAAGTGATCTATCCCATCAATCAGAAATTTAGGGTAAGGTTTTAGATTCTACTTGTAAAAATTAATGACAATCGTTCTGTGTCAGAGTAAATTGCAGAGTCGAGTAATGGAAGAAAATTTACTGCCAATCTGCATAATAGGGATCTTTTTTTGTTTATAGTCCATTGGCTCAGGGCTTATTCTGTAAGGCATCAGCTGCTTTCAGCTCCCCCTGAAGCCTGCAGTGCTTTACATGGTGTCCGGTCAATTTTCACTGTAGTCAAGAGATCTTTTATTCCCATTAACATTAATGGAAGTTGAGTCTGTCCAGAGAGACATAAGAAAAACCCCACAAGGACTTGCCCTTCAGTAAGAAAACATGCGCCAAGCAGATAACCACAACAGAAGAATGCTTTTCTGGGCAATGCAGAAACCTGTCAGTATGATGAATCTTAATTTATGTGGAAACACTTTCGCTGTGTGTATTGTTTAATTTTTCACTTGAAAGCAAACACTGCAAATTGATGAGATGTTTATCTCCTTATTGTGTTGTATTAATTGACCTTGTAAATTTTCTTTGACTGTAGCCTTTGGCAGATGGCTCATCCAATCCATCTTTGCATGAGAATCTGAAGCAGTCGGTGCTGCCTAATCAGGTCATGGAGACATCTACGTCAGGCAGCCTGGGATCCCTAAGCCAGGGAGACAAAGAGGACTGCAGTTCCTCCACAACAATACATTCCACAACAAGCGATGACAGATTTCAGGCTCGAGCCTTCCTCAAGGTGATCAGCTTCCCTGAAGTTCTAACATGTGAGAGGTAAGCAGTAAACCTACCCTTGTGTTTGGTCATTTCCTAGCGTGCGCCAGTGGTTTTCAGGACAATCACTAAAGGTCTGGTGTAAACCAGAGGCTTGGCTTGAATGCATACATTCACCACATCAAGACAGGGTTATCTGCTTATAACCCTAAAAAAGTGGTTGGGGAGATTAAAGTAATACATCATGCTGCGTATTGAAAGTCAGTTTGTTCTTTATGCAATTCTGGGAATCGGAACTTTGGCAAAAGCAGTCTCATGAAAGGTATATCACTGTTACAATAAGGAGATCCCTTTGTTTTGGCTTGTATGCTCAGTTCACACGTGCAGTGGCGTGCTCAGCTGGGGATGGAGTCCTCTGCACTGTACAACGTCAAGTCATACAACAGGTGCCTTGAGAACAACAAGTGGCAGTGGTCTGTTCTCTCCGTTTTAATGGGAACTACGCATGTAATATGGTGGGAAAACTGTTCCTTTCTCAGACACTCCAGTGATGAGCAGGTAGAGCTAATCAAAATGGCTTATCAGCTCTGATTTTCTTTCAGCTGCACAACAGCGAGATATCCCTAGATGAATACATATGTGTCTGTATTCTCATTAGCAAGAATAAAGAAAATCGTATTTGTGTCACTATGGGGACTGGGGAAGGTACTAGCAATGAAGAGTATTTTCAGAATGCCCACTCTTACTACAGCTGTTTTAATTTAAAGGTTTGTTTTCTTTTTGTTGTAGCCACTCATGCCAATATTTACCTTGCCTTTTTCTAAAAGGAACTGCAACTGCAACTTCGTTAAAGCACCATTTTGTTTTGCTCACTTTTATGTAAAGATATTTTATCTGAAAGAGAAGACAATGTAGAAATGAAGTGACTTGACTGCTGTTCTAGGGCCGATGCTTTTAGGAGAATTTAGTGATTAAATGAAACTATTATATGGTGTTGCTTTTTCATGTGACCTTCATTTAGATTGATACTAACACTTTTTAAGTCTTTGTTTTAGTTTTGATGTTAAGCTCTGCCTTTGCAGTCTTATTTTAAAAGATCTCATGCTTCTTGATACTGAACTCAGAAAAGAAAAACACATGGTAAGTACTCATGTCTTATTTATAGCTATTTGGTTTTTACATCTTAGTTGAATATCAGTTTAGGAAATAACATAAACTACTGTCTAGCTGGGAAGTAGTGTAGCAGAGTTGCATCTCTGCAGTATTCTCTTCATTTTTCCTCTCTGTTCTGTATATATATAAGCTTCACAAAGGGGTAAAATATAAAGAAATATATTGGGCTGTGAAATACAAGAGGTCAGACTGGATAATATAAAAATTTGGTTTTAAACTTCAAAGAACAACATACAGCACTTGAGGGTCATAAAAATAGAAAAAAAAAATTAATAGATGAGTTTATGTTTTAATGAGAATGCTTGTGCATTGCAACTCCAAGGACTCCAAGTTCTTTGAATAAAATTGAAAATTCAGTTCAACTGGATCAGTACCGTTGTCATATGTACAATAGTCCTGATTTTGTATGACAGGAATTAAGGTACCCATTTAAACCGTAGATAGCTAACTACATCAAGTCACAGCATCCAAAGCTGACAGGAAAAAAAACCAAAACAAAAATGGATGTATACAATTGTTTATGGTGACTAGTTATGATCAAGTACAGAATCATTACCATTACTGAGTTTTAGCTTAGTTAATATAGATCTGGACATAAAGTATATAGCTTTCTCCTCCCCTTCTTTCCCAACCTCTGCTTAAACAGATTGGTCATTTCTGATATAATTTGTTAAATGCAGTGAGAATATTTCTGTTCTGGGATTTTCTGAACAAACTTTGACGCAATCCAAAAGAGGAAGCATGAAAGTAAACCTGGAAAGCAGCTTCTCTTTTGATGGGATTTATTCCCATCTAAGTAGATGAGGAAGGGAACTTGAGATCAGATTCCAGAATGAAATTTAGCTTGACTAGAGAAGGTTGAACTTGATCTCAAAGTTAATCATCCATTTGTAAATGAAGATAAGTTAACAACATGATGATGTAATCATAGAAACACTGAGAAAATGACCATTTATCATACTTTGTGGCCCACCAGAAAGTACCATAAAAGGCAGACGACTTTGACCTTTAGCTGAAGCTTTGAATAGCTGTTTATTTTCACTAGCAGGGGAAAAGGGCAAAAAAATTTCAGTTTAGAGAATAGTTTCTAAGGGCAAAAAAATTTCAGTTTAGAGAATAGTTTCTTCCTTTTCCACTCTGCTTTATCTGATTTCAGAGTCAGTCTTTCTTAGCATCAGTTCTAGGAAAAGGAAACATATCCTCTTCCTTCAGTGTTTTCTTGAATTCTTTTTTTTTTTCCCTTTTTACAGTATGTGGTATCTATGCGTGTTCAAAACTTGCCAAACTCCTATCCAAAACATTGGCAAGTGAGATCCAAAACATGGCTGCTTTACCATTTTCTCTTCTACTCAACTCTAATGATAACATATTTTCCAGATTTTGCTCAGCTGAAATGTTGGCTTTGGTAACTGTTTGTATTTGTAAATATGGTTTTATTTATGTTTTCGCACGTTTAAACTAGGTAACTTCTGTTTTCAAGTACATGAGTAACATGGCTGTTAAATTTCACATATTTCACATATTTTTATCTTCACGTTGGAAAATGCTGCAGCAGTTAGTAATGAAGTGAATTGTCTTTACATTGACACTCTAATCGAGGCAAGAGAAGAGGTTAAGCAAAATTTATCCCAGTGTTCAAAAACATATTTTTGAAGACACTAGTATTACAATCTTTAAAAAAAAAAATAACCAACAACTGGAAAATAGATGTATTTTTTGTAAGAGAAGGTAGCTAGAACTTGAGATGGTTACTTTTTTGTTGTATATAAAAATGATTGATACTTCATTTGGCCACTACAGTTGAAATCATAGTAATGAATATGTTAGTATCTTTCAGCTTAGGGGTTCATTAAACTTCAAAAAATGGGCTTTATATTTTTAAGTGATCTGTATATTGTCCAGTAAAGGACAGTATCAGACGTGTCAGTCTGGTTACAAGTCTATATAAGATTATGTCCTTGTCCTTGTTAGAATATAATACCATCTTCCAGTATCTTACTGAAGAAGTAAGATACTTTGGCTGAAGTATCTTACTTTAGCCAAAGCTAAAGAATTTTTCATAATGGGAGTACTACAGAGTTCTGATGATGTTTCTGTTATTTTGCTTATGATTCATTATAGTCTCATTGATTGATTTAAATCAACAAAAGTTATCACAAAGATGTCCTTAGAATGTTGAACAGGCACTTACCCTGGGTTTTGTTTCCTTCCTTTTGAATAGATGTTTGTTCAGGTTCTCAAAATATACTTCACAGACTTTCGTCATAAAAAGAAGGTTACTGATGATTTGTTCAAGAAGATCCTTTTAATTCAAGAAAATGTAAGTGGTTTTGTTGGTTAATATTTCAGACCACAGAAAATAAGTTAATCCGACCAGTTGGTGCAAGCTGCCACAGCAGGCTCGCTCTCACCTACTCTTTTTAAACAGCAATGTCATCTGTAATCTATTTCAGAAGAAATGCAAAGAAACTCCCTTGTAGTTGATTCTCTCCATTACCTTGTCCACATTTCCCCCTTGTTGTTCTATGAGGTGATGAGGACAGTGATGTGTCTAATCTGTTAAGAATAAACGTATTTTGTAGTTGTATCCATTCAAGCAAATGGAACATTGTGAACCTTACTCACTCAGATTTAAAAATTTCTCATTATCAGGTCTTTGTCTGGTTCCGTCTATCATTACTGATAATAAAATAGCAGGAAATAAAGCACCAGAAGAAAACTCAAGGCTTTTTTTATCAAGGAAAAATATTCTTATTTTCCTCTTTATCCTTTTTTCTTCCATATACTTGTATCAAAATCCATTTTCCACTTCTGAACTAGATGACATACGTTGACAGTCAGTATGCATTTCAGGTGGAGTCACATTAGAAGGAAAAAAAGCTTTACAAAACTGAACAAAATAGGAGAGCTACTGGTTCCACTTCCCATTTTCCAGATTAGAGTCATAGAAAAGTCTGGGTTGAGAGCCACTTCTGGAGATCATCTGGTCCAACCTTCTATAGGAAGCAGGGAATAACATAAGGGTATCCATAAGTGCCCTGCCAAGCCAAGTCTTGAATATCTGCACTGAAGGAGACTCCCCCATGTCTCTGGGCAGCCTAGACCAATATTTAAATGATTTTTTTTTTTTTCTTACATACAGATGGAATTTCACATTTAGGCATTAAAGTCTATCGGCTTGCCAGCTCTAGTTGGTGAGATTTATTTTGTTCATTCAGTCTCACAATCTGTGAATGAATATCAGGAATCTCTGTAGTTGTACCTAATAATTTATTTCAGCGTGGATTTTGCCTTAAAACCACTCCTCTGCCTTAAATCCTCAGCTTTAGTATTAAAGTTGATTGTATTTAATAAATGAAAAGTGAGATTTGGTGTGCAAATCCCTTTTTCTGACAGACTTCTGGTAATGACTTCAAACTATAAACACAGAGGTAATATAGATTAGGCGTGTTTCCCAATATAGCCTAACCCTCAATGAGGCTTGATGGCATCCGTGTCTACATGCACCTAACTGAGCTGCTGCAAGACAAAGACTAAATCTTGTTCATTAGATGCAGTAATTGCTGGAGTAAGCCAGTTGTTTAAGTGTCAATAACAGAGGTTCCTGTGTCCTATATTCTGGAGAGAAAGGTCTTGGAAACATGACAGCCTTGGGGTTGGGATATCACATAAGGGATGGGGCTGATCATGGATACTGCGTAAAAGAGATGTTGGTAATAAGCAAAAGCATTAGCACTGGAAACTACTGTATGTAGTACTGCATTGGCAAGACTGAGGATTATATGATTTATCAGAGACAGCATTTTCCTCTTTTAAGTCTGCATTTTAAGAAAAATTCATGGGATTTTGATGAAATTGTTTGTGAAGCGTGTCAAAATCTGGTTACATTTATTTAAGACATCGGGTATCAAGTGAATGCATTGACATCCAAAGTTGAGTGATATTAAAAGTAAATGCTTGTTATGTAAGGCATGTTTCAGCAACTGAAGCATCATACATTTCAGTGCCAAGCTACTAAGTAAGGGCAGAACACTAGTATTTGTCAGTATCATTAGCTTTCAGAAAAAATCATCCTGGTTTCAAAGGATTGAAAAACTTTAAAAACCCATATAATCATGTAGCCTGTAATTTGTCCCTTATGAGCTTCATCTGTGTGTGCGAGCACTCTGCAGGAAATACTTCTGATTATCATATCTGGATACTTCTCTGTGCTTTCAAACACAGCGTATACACTCATAGCTGCCATTTAAGATGCGGCACGTGTGCATTAAAATAAAAAAATTCGTGGATAGAATCAAAGGATTATTAGTATGACAGCTCATGGAACAGTGTTTACTAAAACTTGAAATTGGAGATGGGCAACAGTCTTGATCGTACTCACATACTGGTGGAAATGTATGTATTTGTATTGAGTATAGTTCAGAGCTGCCATATATATACACCTTCAGTTTTCTTTGCTTGCTGCAGGAGGTGCATTACCCAGAGACAAAACTTTCTGAATGCTCTTATTCAGCTTCCTTAGCCATGAGCACAACTGACATACAAATTCACTCCTGAATTTAGAAATTATGTCTGTTTTTCTGTTTAACAAATCACTTGCTTTTTTTCCCCAGGATTTTCAAGAATTACAGAAACAACTTGACTCTAGACTGCAAAATACTGAGATGTCAGGAGCCCATAATTCAGAGTACCAGACTCTAGAAGACTTAGAAAGGAAAGAAAGAGAATATTCTGAGCACTTAATAGATAATGTAACTTTCTAATTTTTCTCTCCTAAAATTTTATTTTAATGGTATTCTTTTGATGGGGAATGCTTTTTTATTTTTTTTAAACTGTTGTGTTGACTAGTCCACAGTTAGTACTTTAGATGTGTGTGAGTCCTAAAAACATTTTTACAATGCTTTGCTCCAGCAAAGGATTTCCAGCTCCCTTTGGGAGCCAGTGTGTTTTTTATACAAACACTGTTTTATCTCACTGGGTTTAGAACTGAGAAATGTCTATTGCTTGTCAGATGGTAAGATTTATTTCAAGCCTAGGTATAGTCTGACTTTTAGGAATATTATCCTGGCACCTTGTTTTCTTCAATCCTCCATAACTGAGTAAGAGAGTAATAAGAGACTATAAAACATTTAAGCTCAAATAATTACTAAGAAAATAATTACCTTTTAGCATGCTTTGCACATTTACTTTAGCAAAACATTTTGCCTTAGCAGCTCTGCACCTTATAATACAGTTACGTGGTTTTTTATGTAAAAAATTTAGTTTGGTAGCAGGCATTTGATTCTCAAAGTGAAATTTTGGGGTTTTTTCTCTACAGTAGCGGTCACTGTGTCTAAATAGCTTGCAGGCTAGAAAACTGGAAGTTAAGAATATTCTGCATATTACTTTCCAGTAAACTGAGTAATCTGGAAGATATTCTTCTTCCCAGCCCTGTTTTTGAGGTTTGAGCAAATTCACTGCTGATGGAAATGAGAGACTGACCAGTCAGATTGATGGCTCTGTGAGCTGCCAGCGCTGACTGATTGTGGCACTTCAGCCCTGAACTAAACAGCCCATCATCTCAGCCTTGGGCCTTTTTCGTAGAGGAGTTAACATTTTTTAATGTCTTATGGTTAAGTGCTTCACTAGGAATTTTCTCAGCCTTCTTGTGATTCTCTGTGCTTTTCACTTTATAGTGGAAGTCCTGGTAACAGTGGTACCTCTGTGTCAAGTTTCTTTTTCAATTTAACTTTGCTCTTTGAAAAATTGATTGTTTAGAGTTCTCCAGAGTTAGTTACATAAAAACTCTCTGGCAGCCTTACTGAGCAACATGAGGCAGTTATTCACCAGCGGCGGTCATCCTTCAGTGGGTCTGTCACTCTTATGCCAGCAGATGCTTTTCATCCATATTGAAAATCATTTCCCTGTACGCAGATTCATATAGAACAGGACGTTGAACTAATCCACTCTTCCCTCAGTAATATAAAGAGGTTTTTTGCCATACTCACAGATGCCATAGTCACAGTTTTTTGCAAAACTCACAGATACTTAATACAAATCTTGGCGATGGATACGTTTTGTTATCTTTATGTGTACTAGTAATCCCACTGAAAACCACAGAATATGCACGATTGTCGTAAGTGTTTGTGGGATCGGAGGCTAAAACTAGAGATTGCCCATATTATAATATATCAGAATGGGCACGTGCACTATGCTGATACTGCATAAAGTACTTAATTCCAGCACAGTTAATGAAGTGCTTATGTACCATGTGGCTATGAAAGGCTTTGATCGTGAAAAACAGTGACAGTTTTCAGTTTTTCTTTTTTAGCAAAAATCTTGCTTGACTGGAATGCCTGTTCCTACAGCTAAATAAACTTCCCAGAAAAAAGGGCTGCAGTTTGTTATCTTTTTTAGTTTTCCCATTAATACTAACAACATAATAGGCTTTTATAGATGCAATTTGTGGAGGACTAACAATAAATTCTTACTGAGTTATACAGAATGACTACATTTAAAAAGGTCAGGATTGACCTACTGGTTATGTGCCACCAACACGTGTATCATCATATAGTAAGTAGGCTCTTTAGCTTTGCAAAATGTTCACTATAACTAATACTGAAAGCTGGCTGTAGTCTCAGTGACTTGTATCTCAGTAGACTCATGCCTCTCGCTGTAATGAAATACTAGATTAATGAGGGAACATGGATTGTTTTTTGATTCATATTCCACAGATGGAAGCTTTCTGGAAGCAGACTGACAAAGCCCAGCAGGCTTTTTTGGACCAATCAAAATGCTCAAGTGCCAAAGCAACAAAGATAATGACGGATCTCACCGAGAAGATGATTGCAGTAGAAAGCTTATTAAGTGAATCTCAAGATTTGCAAGCAATGGTAAAGTACAAAACGAAATAAAAGTTGAGAGAGATCTAGTCAATCTGAACACAAAGAATGACGCAAGCGTACAGAGTCTGTCAGTCCTGCCTCAGGAATGATGTAGACTGCTTACTCTAGTTGTCTCTTTCAGGTTTGTTGCAAAGAGCTCAACTTCCATTGCAGTTTATGAAGACTCACAGGAGGGTGAACTCTCTGCACTTGAGTTCTAATTCTCAAAATAGTGTTTAGGCAGTCATGTTACGAAAAAGTGATATTAACACGGCCAGTGAGCCAGGAGCAAGAGAACTAAATCTAATGATGAAGGAGAATCATTACCCTGGGCATTAGGACATTTCTTTTTCTTTCGGAGTATTTATTCCACTTTGACTGAGAAATCCTAAATCAAATTTGAGGGTGATTCTGTGTGTCCAGTGACTTCAACTGGAATTGAAAGCCCTTAACATCTCGTTGTGATACGGTCTTAAGAGGGAAAGAAGTGTTTATAAATGCATCAGCACTGTGCTTTGTGTTGTGTTAAATCTAACAGACCCTTTATTTGCTTTGCACAGTACATACTGAAAGAATTACTTGGAATATATAGATTAACAGTACAATCAGAATCTGGCCCACTGCATTTATTAGTAATTTGGAGAATAAATGGATAGCTAGCTTTATCTGGCTTACTAATAAACAGATACAGTAATTATTAGCTTGTTAGTTTTGCATTGGAGCAGCTAAGTAAACTAAGCTGGCCAGGTATGAAAATAGTCTTTGCAGCTGATCACACTTGACCCATACCGGGCTACCATACAGTAAGTTCCTTCAGATGGGCAGACTTCAAATGAGGTGTTTGGATACAGATGCAGGAAATATTCCTACCTGAAGTCACTACTGTGATGCTTGCACCTCATTCCAAAGGTCATTGTCTGTGTGCCTCCATTAACTGCAGTAGTTGTCCCGCTCTTTCCAACCTTGCAGCATTGTCTAAAGCAGTTGCAGTTTCACGTGGGAGATCTTGCTCCCTACTGTAATCCTGGGCTTCTTCTCTAATAGTGCAATGAAAGCTGCTAGGCCATAGGCAATTATACTAATTTTTACTATATTTACTGAAACTCCAGCTGACCACATACTTGAAGGGATCCCAGCAGTATCAAAATTAGATATGTGTCCTCACTTCAAAATGAAGGCCCATACTGGTGTGTTGTATAGTATCTCGAAAAGTGGCCTGGGACTTCCATTGTGTCCTTCTGTTCATCTTTCCCCCTTGAGTATTTAAGCTTGTTGTGCAAGCTTGTTGTCTTTTCCTGCCTTAATGTCTTCTTGACAGCTACAAATAATGAAAAACACCAGTACTTTTAGGTTAGCTCTTGCAACTGAACATGTGATAAACTCACTGCTATTCTACACCGGTCAAGGTTTTCAGAAATACTTAAGTACATAAAGATTGTTATTGACATGGTCTTGAGAAGCCTCCTCAGTTTTCTGTGTAGTTGGGAATGAATAATTCAATGACAGGGCAAGGACAACCAAAGACCAATTCTTGGTTTCTAAACAGGACTTTTTTATGTTTGTTTTAGGACATTCAGGAAAGGTTATTCAACTGGGAGCTTATGGTGAAAATGATCGATTCACTGAAGTCCTATATACCAGAAGAGTGCAAGTGTAGATTAAATATTGTATCAAATATTCTGGACCATTTAACTGTAAAGAATAATCTCTCAGTCCGACAAAAGGAAGAACTTTTAACGGATCTGCACAAGGCCTTCTGGGAACAGCTGGCACATTTCAGTAATGGTGAGTACTTAGACCAGAGCTCATGACTTAACAAATATGGGTGTGAGTTCTCATTATTTTATTAAGTAGTAAAAAAATTATGGCTTGGGCCTTATACCCCTCTGTTTTAAAAAGGTATTGATGAATTGGCCAAGAATACTGTTATTGTGAAGGGTGGATGCTTAGAATAGGAACTTTGGCTTCAAGCCTTCTAGGTCTTGTTTCAGGCATTACTATGAACTTACTCTACAGTTCGCATAATCTGTACCTTACTTCATTAATTTGAAGATTGAAGAAGAGTCACATTTGTTACAAGTATTTGTGAGATTTCTCCATTTACTGTTCACATACTTGACATTGTCAGTGATACTGGCTAATGTTAGGGACAGTAATAGCTGTGTATGTGCAGGATACTGTCTTACAATCTCCTGCTAGCATGTGGATCCAGCAAATATACAAAACATAGTTGTGCTATCACTCTTGCGAAAAGGTAATTTTAAAGCTTATGATCTTCAGATCGCAGAATCATAGAATAGTTTGGGTTGGAAGGGACCTTTAAAGGTCATCTAGTCCAACCCCTCTGCTGTGGGCAGTGACATCTTCAACTAGATCAGGTTGCTCAGAGCCCCGTCCAATCTGACCTTGAATGTTCCCAGGGATGGGACATCTACCACCTCTCTGGGCAACCTGTTCCAGAGTTTCACCACCCGCATTGTAAAAAATTTCTTCCTTTTATCTAGCCTAAATCTACCCTCTTTTAGTTTAAAACCATTCCCCCTTGTCCTGTTGCAACAGGTCCTGCTAAAAAGTTTGCCGCCATCTTCCCTGTAACCCCCCTTTAAGTACTGATAGGCTGCAATGAGGTCTCCCTGAAGCCCTCTTTTCTCCAGGCTGAATAACCCCAACCCTCTCAGCCTTTCTTCATAGGAGAAGCGTTCCATCCCCTGATCATTTTTGTGGCCCTCCTCTGGACCCACTCCAACAGGTCCATGTCTTTCTTGTGCTGAGGGCTCCAGAGCCAGACACAGTGCACCAGGTGGGGTCTCACCAGGGCGGAGTAGAGAGGCAGAATCACCTCCCTCGACCTGCTGGCCATGCTTCTTTTGATGCAGCCCAGGATACGGTTGGCCTTTCGGCTGTGAGCGCACATTGCTGGCTCAGGTCCAGCTTTTTATCCATCAGTACCCCCAAGTCGTTCTCAGCAGGGCTGCTCTCAATCCCTTCATCCCCCAGCCCATATTGATACCAGGGGTTGCACTTGGTCTTGTTGAACCTCATGAGGTTCACATGGGCCCACTTCTCGAGCTTGTCCAGGTCCCTCTGGATGACATCCTGTCCCTCAGGTGTGTCAACCGCACCACTCAGTTTGGTGTCATCTGCAAACTTGCTGAGGGTGCACTCAATCCCACTGTCTATGTCATTGGTGAAGATATTAAACAGTACCGGTCCCAATAAGGACCCCTGAGGGACTTATCACCAACCTCCATCTGGACATTGAGCTGTTGACCACTACCCTCTGGATGTGTCTATCCAACCAATTCCTTACCCACCAGACAGTCCACCCATCAAATCCATACCTCTCCAGTTTAGAGAGAAGGATGTGGTGGGGGACCATGTCAGAGGCCTTACAGAGATCCAGATAGATGACATCTGTAGCCCTTCCCATGTCCACTGATGTAGTCACTCCATCATAGAAAGCCACTAGGTTGGTCAGGCAGGACTTGCCCTTGGTGAAGCCATGCTGGCTGTCTTGAATCACCTCCCTGTCCTGCATGTGCCTTAGCATAGCTTCCAGGAGGATCTGTTCCATGATCTTCCCAAGCACAGAGGGGAGACTGACTGGCCTGTGGTTCCCCGGGTCCTCCTTTTTTCCCTTTTTAAAAACGGGCGTTATGTTTCCCCTTTTCCAGTCAGTGGGAGCTTCACTGGACTGCCACGACTTCTCAGATACACTGTATGGTGGCTTAGCAACTTCATCCACCAGTTCGCTCAGGACCCACGGATGGATCTCATCGGGTCCCATGGACTTGTGCACCGTCAGGTTCCTTAGATAAACCTCTCTTTCATTATGTCAGACTAAAACACTTTAAAAACAAAGTCTTTTCCTTTTCCTCTTCCAGCCCTTCACATTGCCTATCTGTAAAGTACATAATTATAACAAAGTCTGAGCTTACTGACCCACTGATTTAAGGTTCTCCCTGTGTCACTTTGCATGTTACCTAATGCCCAACATGTTGAGAAACACACCCCCATCATCTCCAATAGGTGCTGTATCAAGGGCTCAGTTCTTCGCATCAGCACTTGCAGAAAACTATAGTACACGTTCAGCCAAAAGGAAAACAGTGAGAAGTATTTTATTCTCACACATTTTCCAGAAACATTTCTGGTACTTGTGGGCGTATTTAAAGAAAATTGTCCTAGCAAAACAGCATCAGGGTTAGAGTTCAGTGAACTGAATAGTCAGAATGAATGTAGTCTTGTTGCAGTGCATTCTTGCTGCAGTGCTGCTCATTCACATTCAGGCTTTGTGTTGATAAATTGTGCTATATCTCACGGTCAGCAATTCACAGAATCACAGAATGGTGGAGGCTGGAAGGGACCTCTGGAGGTCATGTGGTCCAACCCCCCTGCTCATGCAGGGTCAGCTACAGCTGGTTGCCCATGACCATATCCAGGTGGCTTTTGAATATCTCCAAGGATGGAGACTCCACAACCTACCTGGGCAACCTGTGCCAGTGCTCAGTCACCCTCACAGTAAAAAAGTGTTTCCTGATGTTCAGAGGGAACCTCCCGTGTTTCAGTTTGTGCCCATTGCCTCTGGTCCTTTCACTGAGCACCACAGAAAAGGGTCTGGCTCTGTCTTCTTTGCACCCTCCTTCCAGGTATTTATATACATTGAAAAGATCCCCCTGAGCCTTCTCTTTAGTCTGAACAGCCCCAGCTCTCTCAGCCTTTCCTCATAGCAGAGATGTTCCAGTCCATCATTCCAGTTCCATTTTCGTGGCCTTTCATTGGGCTCTCTCCAGTCTGTCCATGTCTCTCTTGTATTAGGGAGCCCAGAACTGGACACAGGACTCCATGTGTGGCCTCACAGGGCTGAGCAGAGGGGAGGGATCACCTCCCTCCATCTGCTTGCAGTGGTTTGTCTAATGCAGCCCAGGATACCATTACCCTTCTTTGATGCAAGGGCACATTGCTGCCTCATGTTCAACCTCGTGTCCACCAGAATCCCCAGATCCTTTCCTGCAAAGCTGCTTTCCAGCTGGATGGCCCTCAGCATGTACTGGTGCCTGGGGTCGTTCCTCCCCAGGTGCAGGACTTTGCACTTCCCATTGTTGAACTTCCTGAGATTTGTGTTAGCCCATTTCTCCAGCTTGTCAAGGGCCGTATGGATGGCACCATGACCCTCTGGTGTATCAGCCACTCCTCCCATTTTTTGTGACCTCTGCAAACTTGCTGAGGGCGCATTCTGCCCCTATTGTCCAGGTAATTAATGAAGATACTGAGCAGGGTTGGACACAGTATCGAGCCCTGGGGTACGCCACTCATTACTGGCTTCCAGGTGGACTTTGTGCAAGTTTTCAATCCATCTCACCGTCTGCTCATCCAGCTTATACTTCATCCTCTTCTCTATGAGGGTCTGACAGGAGACTGTGTCAAAAACCTTGCTGAAGTCAAGGTAGACAATATCCACTGCTCTCCCCTCATCTCATCTACTGAGCCAGTCATTTCATCGTAGAAGGTTATCAGAATTCCCATGCTGTAGGCTTGCTCAATTGCTTTAATTGACTTTAAAAACATCAGTTAACCATGTGAACAGTTTGCTGATACTCATGAATTCATGTATATCATGATACAGATTATTTCATGGATGTTTGCTCCTAAAACTGGCATGCCTAGTTCATAGTTTTTGCATAGGTTCAGCCACTAGTATTGCTTAAGCATGAACGTATATCTGTGGGTGTTTTCTCCCTCTTTTTGTAAAGTTTCTCGTGTTCCAAAGCAAAAATACCTCTGTTAAGGCCTTGATTTTATGCAAAATAGGTGTTTATAGTTATATGTAGCTATGTATTATATTTAGTACAGCCTGTGCAGAAGGGCATTATCAACTTTCTGGTTTTAGATAGGAATGAAATGTGCTTTAAAAAAAAAAAAAAAAAGAGGCTGGAGTGCGGCATTTTCACATGAGAGTCTATTTTGACCTTGCTTATGAGCTCCTAAATACATAAATTAAAGTGTACGTATAATTCACAAGCAGAACACAAAGCCAGCAAGACTGTGCTCCTAGGAAACAAACAAGGAAGTAGTAAAGAATCAAGTAGTGTTTAAAAATAACAGTTGCTACATTTGTTCAGACGACATTTTTATTACAGGCTTTCCTGTACTTCCTGCATTTTCAAGTGTTTTGTCAGTGCATCATCAGCCTGTGGATAAGTATGATAAATTAGCATGGTGAATAAGTAACATGCTTGGCGCTACAGTACTGCACTCCTTTACTTCTCTACAAAATAATTTCTCATAGTTAAAGCAGCTTGATATGATGGCAGCACAGCAGCCACAGATGGCTATTTTTTTGCATTCCCCTTTAGCTGCTGTGTCAGGAGTGAAGTTCTGGTCTGGGGCAGGGTGGGTGGAGGAAAAGAATGAAGTTCTTCTTGGGTGGACAGGCAATGAGGCATGAAGTAATGGCAGAACATTGTAAGCACTGATTCCACTCTGCAGCACAGGGTCCAGATAGACTCATGAATTTATAAATCACTTGGAGCTGTAGGGGTGATGAAGGTGGGAAGAACTCCATCCCAAATATTTCACAGTTCTAGCACAGAATCAGAGGGACCTTGACAACTTTTGCTGCAGGTTCCTGGATGAGTCTTTGGAAGCCTGGTATGGCTGCATGCCAGTTCAAGCTAATCTGAACTAGCACTGCTCTAGACCTTTTCTCCCCACCATATGTTACTGCCCCTGTCCTTGCAGCAGCATTTGCATATCTGCAATTAGGTAATGAGCCACTTCTGGACCTTCCCAAAGCAGGAGGGGGAGGTTTGGGGTGCTGCAGGTAGGAATCTGTTTCTTGAACTAACTCACTGCCTTTGCATAAGCAGCAGCAGCAGTGAAAGGGAGGGTGCAGGATGGTAGTGATCAAAAAACCGGATAGATTTAAGTGCCATATAACAATCAAAAAGTTCACATCGAAAAGGAACATCAGGGTAAGAATAAATTTGAAATCCTGCATGGTAATTACTTTCTTATTTCACTCACTAACAGATTTCTCTGAACTTATGTTGTGTGACAGTAGCAGATGCTACTTTCTCCCTGTGGAGTTGTTGTATCTAATCATCGGTAGTTTTATGTTCCAGAATGTATCCAGCAAAGTAAAGACCTGATCTTGAAACGACTGGAGTGCCGTGCAAAGAAGAGAGAAGAGTTCAAACACAGACAGAAAGCTGAACGAGGGAGTCTCCTCAGTAAAACTTTTCATATTAAAGATGTTAATGATTTTCTTAAGGTGAGCACGTAAAAGCTTATTTTCACAGTTCCATTAGTTTTTAATGCCAAATATATTGCAGATTTCTCCTAATTCCATAAAATCAGGATTTTTGGGTCATCCTGAGAATTGTGTACGGTAGCACAGGTAGGATAGGTCAGACCCCCTATTGCTTAGGCTTGCCTAGAGACTTTTCCTCCAGTTTTGATCTTGTCACATGCCAAAGGGTGTTAATGCTAAATTGCATGTTTTGTAGAAAATGTCTTTTACTTAGATACTATGTGTTTGGTTCAATATAGGAAATCTCTGGAGGAAAGTATCTGGCCTGCATTACAGAAGAAAACAGACTGCACTGATCTAATTGCATTTCTATGAGTGAGGTTACTGAGGCTCAAAAGACTATCGAAATTCACATAAGCAGAGGGAAAACATTATGATCGCTGGCAGGATACCTTGGGGAAGGCTTGCAATAGATAGTTTAATATGGTATACAAAGGCTACTGTAATGTTTTCTTGGACATATTTTTTATAGAGCTCTATCGTTATTGTTCAGAATGTATATAGGAAATCAGAGTTCTTAGCTGTAAATGCTGAGAGCTGCAAAACTCCTATAACTGCTGAGAACTACAGACCCAAGTTATTAAGAAATAAAAAACAATCAATCCTCAATTGTCATGAAAAGAAATAATTTAAGGTTATAATAATTTTAAGGTTAAAGTGGTTACATCCAGCAGCATTAAACTTTTGATGAAATCTAATAACTTAGGTAAATTACTGTATGAGAAGACCCAGATTCCAGCTGTAGCAAACTGTCAAAATTTATTGATCTCAACATTGCAGTTTTGTACTGCAGGGCCAAGTTCTTTAATTATATTGTATGAATTGGATAATGCAGTTACTGTTCTTGTATGCAACACCAGTCTGGCAACACCTCACTTCAAAACAAAAGGTTTCAGGCACTTTAAAACAGTAGAGCACATTTTACTTCTTTGGCTTTTCATAACTTGAGACAAATAATTCTATCACATATTTTTGTAGCCACTGAGCACTTGTGAATGTATTTTCCTTATACACATCATTCAAAACTCTTGGACACATCCCAACTTCATTAAACAAAGTTTAGAAATTTTGTCTTAAGACCTCTCCCCTACAAAGTTAGAGCCACACAGCTTTGTGCAAGAGATGCTCTATTCTGTACACCTTAGAAACAAATAACAAATATTCTTAGTTAACCTGTAGACTAACAATCTGCTTATGGCAGGCTGAAAAGCAACTTGCACTTCATGCTGCAGGACAGAACACAACTGAGTCTTAATATTATGAAATGCCTGTGTGCAAATAATAAAACAAGTCAGAAGTTTAAGCCTTTCTGCTGCCACAGTATCCCAGAACAGATGGGGTCTTTAGTCCAGAGATTCTCTGAAGAATAAGAAAAAAAAAATATATATATATATCTGCAGCTCCCATGATTTGACTTAAATAGTCCAGTAATTATTTTGTGCGAACAATCCCCTCAGCATTGAGGAGCTGTTTTAAACCTGTTTCATGGTTTCATAGCTAGCCCAACAGTGAAGGGCTTGGTCCTGGATCCTTACCACGAGCCCAGAGTTGTACCCATCAAATGCACTTTTCTCCTCTGCCTTCCCCCGTCCGCCTCATCAAAGGGCTCGCACCACCATGGTAGCAGCCTCGGTGGTAACTGCATCTTCTGCTGAATTTTAAGTGGCCAATTAAGAAGGTGGATTTTGCAATGAGTTTATGTGCACTTTTGTGCTCTTTAGAAAGCCCTGTTGACATACCTAACAAAAAAAGCCATATTTACCATGGGAATGTAAGAGGGCACTTGGCAATTTAAATAAAAATATGGAATATTTATGTATAAGACCACTCATTAGTCTATAAAATGAGATGTTCTTTGTCTGTGAAATTCAGTCTTCCATTACAGCACATGAGCCTGCCAACACATCACAGTCCTGTCTTGAAGAAAAAAATTGCATCCCTCTTAAATCTGTGACCAAAGACCAAATCAGGACGAAGTCATAGATCAGCCTTGTAGACTGAGTGCCATCTGACGGTACCATGGGACATTGTCGTGGTTTAACCCCAGCTGGCAACTAAGCCCCACCCAGCTGCTCACTCACTCCCTCCCGGTGGGATGGGGGAGAGAATCAGAAGAGTAAAAGTGAGAAAACTCGTGGGTTGAGATAAAGACAGTTTAACAGGTAAAGCAAAAGCCACGCACACAAGCAAAGCAAAACAAGGAATTCGTTCACTACATCCCATCAGCAGGCAGGTGTTCAGCCATCTCCAGGAAAGCAGGGCTCCATCACGCGTAACGCTTACTTGGGAAGACAAACGCCATCACTCCGAACTCCTTCTCCCCCCAGCTTTATATGCTGAGCATGACGTCATATGGTATGGAATATCCCTTTGGTCAGTTGGGGTCAGCTGTCCCAGCTGTGTCCCCTCCCAACTTCTTGTGCACCTCCAGCCTGCTCACTGGGTGAGGAGCAGAAAAGGCCTTGACTCTGGGTAAGCACTGCTCAGCAGTAACGAAAACATCCCTGTATTATCAACACTGTTTCCATCATAAATCCAAAACGTAGCCCCATACTAGCTACTGTAAAGAAAATTAACTCTATCCCAGCTAAAACCAGCACAGACATGCTGACCAACCCCAGTGCAAAAGCCCTATATAGTGTGATACAGCTGTAACTGATGTGACTGATGACTGTTCTGCGCCTCATAGTACGGGGTATGATGAAGTGATATTCATACACAGGAAAGCAGGTTGCAAATCAGATCATTTCACATGTTTTCCAGTATTAGGTACATATTATTTAACCCTAAATTGCTGAAGCTATGGAGTTTCATACTCAAGACTGGATATGCTGAAATTAAGGTGGTAAGGCAAGTTTCATTTCCCTCTGAGTCATGGTTCCAGATAAACACTTACTATTGTGATGGTACAAGGGAAAGGGATCAGGGAAGGGAAAAGCTATCAAAACCTTTTCAGCTATTTAAATATACGTATTGTGTTTCTTTTAGGCTTACCATGAGCTGTTAGAGAAGCATCGGCAAGCACAGTGGGAACTGGAGGAGGAGGATGACTGCAAGAGCACAGAGGCTGTTGCAGATCTCTACAAGGTGCCACCTCTAGTGATATGTGTCATTTACTAAAATAATTCTGAAAATCCTCTAACCCCACTACACAATGTCAGGCCTTGGGGAATTGCAGGAGAGATCATGGCAGCTCCAGAAAGCTAGGCTGGCAAACCAGGAGATGGAGACAGGACAGTCTCCATCTTCTTCCACATTAGCTTGCCTTTTCCATTATCTTCCCAACACACTATGTTTCCTAACCTTGTATTAATCAGAAAATGCCTACGTGGTCTGCCAAAACATGCTGCCTGGGTGGCTGACAAGGCTGCAATAACAGTGAGAGCATACAATGTCTGACATTACTACCAGGAGAGAGACTTCATTTATGTAGCATAATTATCTCCTCTGCACCATGATGATACTATTCTTTGTTAACTTCACTACATCTCCAAAAATAGTTTTCTTGTCTCTTTTCCTCTCAGAGAAATTGTTTTGACACTAGTTAGTTCCCTGAAATAAGTTCAGATCTTTGGTGTAAGTAATACTTTTACACTTCTTTATGTTACTGATTTGGAAAATATGTAGATGCTTCATGCTTTTGCGTCATCTTTAATTATTTTCTGTCTGCACCGAAAAAATAAGATAACATGATCTATCTGATGAAGCCCAAAACTGTAGCCTGCAGTGACCTTTAATTAGGCTGGAACTAATCACTTTCAGCTCAACAGGATCCTTGTCATGATTAATTATGACCAGATCAGGATGTTATGGAAACTTGTAGTCCCTATCACGTTAGGATAAGATACCCACACAATCTTAATTAGCCCTAGTCCACACGCACTTTTTCAAATTCAATTGATAGAAAAAATAAAGCCACTGTATTTAGAACAAATAGTTTTGTTGTGGTTTTATGTAATAGTGCAAGCACTTTCTGCTTTGGAGAAAGGAAAAGTTTGCTTGGAGGGCCATGCCAGTGAATCAGAGTAGATTAATTGTACAAAGCCGTTTAATTTAAGAAAAGTCAACATGTCTGCTGATACTACTGTGCACAGTCCATTCTCCAGAGTTACTAATTTCTTCACCCCCTTCCTCAATTCACATGAAGTCTCTGGAGACCAAACAACTTTTTTTACCCTGCACAGTTCCACCTCATCTGTGAAATTATATTTATTTTCTTTATTGTGTATTCTGCTTTAGTGACACTAAGATCAGACTGAAAATCCTATTTCTTTCAGCACTGTTAGCTAAGTTTTCTTTTCCATTAAAGAAAAATTGATTTGGGTGAATTAAGTGTTTCTAGAATTGCCAAGTTGCCAGGAGAGCTGCACAAACTTGAACTCTGCCAATTCACCCAGCTCTAAGCCATTATATTCCATATTACAGCTGCTGTCTTATTCCTAGACCCAAACAACCACTGCCAGCCATGAAAAACTGCAAGTACTGTGATCCAACTGGCATCTGTTGAATGAGGGTCCACAAATCTTAATTTCCATTTTTTTTCTGTAATAAAACATTTTTATTGTGACATTTAACATAATGAACAACTGCACTTTCTCCCCTTAACCCTAAATACTGATACTACAGACTGTTTTAGGAGAGCGGACTGCTTCTGAATATACCTTGTAAGCAGCATAAGCTAGAAATAAAAGAAAATACAAATGAGCATAGCCCCACTGTAGGTAAATGGAGCTGTTCTGACTTCTACAGCTGAGGGAAGTGCAGTAGTTACACATGTTGTCCGTTGCCTGGGGCATAAAAGCAAAAGTACATTTGCCTTTAAGGGAAGGGATTGCATCTTGCAATGCCCTTGCTTCTCTCTGCTCCAACACACTTTCAGAGGAAAAGTGCAGCCTGAACAAGCAGAAGCCTTTCCATGGGCAGCAGGGCTTTGCCCCTTCACTTAGTTTCTCCGGGTTTCTGCTGGGGAGAAGCTACTGCTACCAATAGGGAAGGCAGGATACCCATGGGAAGGTGACAGGGATTTGAGGTACTCCACAGTGCAGTGGTAGACTTTAGGTAGACCTAAGCAAGCAAACATTAGACTAACCAGCTGGGTACCAACAACCCTGACATGGCAATAGTCAGCAGTGTGCTACAAGACCTATGTCCCAGTTGGGTTTGAACCAGCTAGTTTGTAGAACTAGCTAGTTTGGGTACATCTGCAAACACTGCAGAGCTCTGTGTTGTCATTCCAGAAGGTCTGTGCTCCATGAAGCTTAACTGATAGTCATTTGCCTTGCACTCATTTGGAAGGTTTGGACTCTGCTGTTTCTGTTCTACCATGAGAAAGGGAAAGGTTAAATTAAAGATTTGGTTAAACATACTATTGCTCACTTAATCTCCATATTTCCGTAACTGCAAGCATGTGTTACTAAATAAGTTAGAAGGCAAGAAAAGAAGTTCACCAGTAGAGAGTTCTGTTCTGTTCCTTTTTTATCATTCCAGGAGAAATGGAAGCCTAGCAATATTACTGAAAAAACTGAGTGAAACTCTCTAAAGTCACTTTGGCATGCTCCACAGATATTTAGATGAATATTCCTCAGCCTGTGGTCCACAAGACATCCAAAGATAGACTGCAAGAAAATTTAAAAAAGATGCGTTCATACATTTGTAAACACAGTCAGAGTGGAAAGAACTAGAAGTAATTAAATATTTAAGAGTTCAGCCCAGTTTTTATTTTATTGCAAATGAAAATTAACCTTGCAAAACTGCACAAAGTAGTTATGCTTTCCCACACACAGAAGTTAAATAGCTGTTGGATTTAACGGAAATAAAACTGAGATGTCTTACTGGGAGGTAATTACCTAAATCCAAGAGGAGGCAAGGTGTTATCTAAATTACAATTTCTCCATAACCAAGATTTACCAATAGCATCCTATATGCCCCCTCTACCAAGTAGCTCATACTCTCTACTGGCCCAGGATTAAAGAAATACCACATACTACTTCTGGACTGAACAATCTAATATTGTCCAGTACTCACAGGATTTAGGGTTCCAGACAAGTTCCTGCTTGTGTACCCATTGCCATCTTGACTTTGGTTGGAAACCCCCAGAACTGGAATGAATCACACCACACTTTTCAGATTAATGGCAGCAGAACCCAAACCATAGTGGGTTTTTTCCCCACATCCAAGCCCTCTATTTTCTTAAGTTGCTTTCATGGTCCTTGGGGCATCATCAGTATTGCAATTTATCAGATAAACACCAGTATCCTAGTAAAGAACAGACATGTTGGTTCAGACAAATGGCCATTTGGAGTAATATCCAGTAAGTTCATGTACTGTAACAGCTCCAGTGTTAGAGAGATGCGTACTATCCAGTTAGCTAGAGTTAGGTCCCGTTCTCAAGCATACTTTCAGCTAAGAG